ACCCTTGCGGCCCCGGCCGGCAGGCGCCTTCCGGCCGCGGCGCTCGCCCGGCGCCCAACCTCGCTGACAGCGTGGAGCCGCCCGCCTCTTCCTCACCCGGCCTCGCCGCCGCCGCTTCGCTGGCGCCCCATGGGGCCTCAGCGAAGCCGAAATCAGGCTGCAGCGGGTTTCCCCTCTCGTGAGGTTAGCAACATCGCGGGGCAGGCAGTGAGGTTGCTGCCCCGTCCTACCGTTCTTAATCGTTTTATGTAATCATTTTCCACCTCTTGTCCCCTGGCCGTGCTAGGGGTGCGCTAGCGACTCGTAGGGTTGCCCTGATTGAGCCGGGTGCCCCATTGAGTGAGGCTGGGGGATGCGTGACACACGTACCTGTGCCTCGACACGGCTCATCTGCACATGCAGCCCAGTGAGCTGCAGATGCAGCATCTGTCCTCAGCCAGGCACCATGGCACAGAGAGCTGGAGTTTCACTGGTTTCCTTATTACCGCCACATTCCCTCGACCTTTAATGCAGCTTGCTTACTGCTGGAAACACGTATCCATCATTTTGCCTGACAGCAACCTGAAAAGCCCTGGGGAAGCAGAGGGAGGATGGGGCTGCAGGCAGCTGGAGCTGGGAGCTGTGGAGGTCTGAATGAAGAGACTGATGTGGTCTGATCCTCATCTTTCTCCAGGTCGTCCTGTAGCCTCAGATTGCCTTTCGTAAATGCTTGGAAGATGAAAAAAGTTGCAGTTTGCAGCTTTGCTGTCTAATAATCAGATCACATGGAAAAATTGAGAAAAAAAAAAAAAAAGCTAAGAAAGTAGTGTAGATTTTCATGAGACTTTCATGCAGTTAAGTTACGTGATTTGGAAGTACAGAGAAAACCAAAAGGACACATCTGTTTTAGGCGTTTAGGGTTTGCAGAATTTGAACTGACACCTGCCTGCGTATGCTTACACACTTAGTAAATATTAATGAAAAAAAAAAAGGTTGTGGGTATTACAGAATTTGCTGAGGAGTTAAATGCTAGCATTTTCCACTGTTATTAAACACTGAAGGCAGAGGAGCTGGTCTTGCAAAAAAGCAAAAGACCTGGCCTTCTTGTGCTTCTGTGCCCTTAAAAAAAAAACCTGCCACAGTTCCCTTCCTACCTGAAACAGAGAATGGTTCTGTTGTCCCCTCCCTTCTCCTCAAACTGTTTTCTGTTCTATTACCAGTCTTTTTTAAACAGCTCTGCCCAGTAATTGTTATGCAGATGTTATACCCAAATGTTGCTTCATTGAGGTACTGCCATTGACCATGAGAATTCGTCAGTAGAAGACAGAAATTAAAATGTGTAGATCAGTAAGAAAATTATTCATAGGTGCAAAAGAAGAGGAAGAATCAATGAAGTGCTTAACTGTCCCGTATAGTCAGTGTGAGAAGGAGAAAGCCTTTTCTAAACTTATAGAGGTTTTGAGGGAGATGTGCAGAAAATCTCGCTGTCAAGAACTGAATGTCCAACAAGCAGACAGAGGAGTCCTAAAACTTTATTCGAATAAAGAGAGAGTGCACCGGGCATATCCCTGTGGGGTCTCTCAAATTGCTGGGGGACGCAGCCCCCCTTTTATCCTAATTTCCCGACCAAGGGACGCCCTCTCCTTTTCCCCATTGGCCAAGGTACTCAGAAGTTACAGCCTTCCCGGCCCGCCTACACCAAACTCCGGCCTCCCGCCCTCTGTTCTCACCTGAGCTCACCAACTCCTTTGACCCCCTTGCTGAAGAATGTGGGGGAATTGCCCTTTGTAAAGGCCCCCATCTCCTTGCAGATGGCTCTTTTTGTCCCACTCGGCTCATGGCTCCACTCAGTCTCCCCTCCCTTTGTCCTGCTCTTCAGCCAAACTGTGGAGAAACCCCCTTATTGATGAATACAGAAACTTGAGCATTACGCTCAGAGAGGAGCTTAAAATCTTGAAAAATAAATTTTAAGGAGCAAGTGATAAGTGGGAACCATGTAGTAGCTCTTGCATTCTGCCTGTTCCCCAGAGTTGGAGATCTGTTGCTTGCAATGTCAGTAATCACAGACAGGGAAGTTGAAACCTGTGATCAAAATGTCAGTAAAGCAGCTGTGGAGATACCAAACAGAGGAAGATTACTTGTATTACTTGTAGCAGCATTATAAGGAGTGGAGGCACGAAAGGAGGTGGATATCAAAAAGGAAGATGACCTGTTCAGAGATGGTTTTGTTGCCCCAAAGAAGTACTTCCATGTCTGTGAAATGGTGTGGCTGCAGGATATGGAAATGAAGCCTGAAATTTAGTTGGTAAAGTAAAGCTGGGAAGATGGTCAGGAAATCGTTGCTAAAAGCTTTGAAATATAACTCTCCTAAAGATGATGGTCATCAGAATAACAGCAATAGAAGATTGGAGAGTGGCAGCAGGGTGGTTTTATGTGAATAATTTATAGTAATTTAAATCATACCAAAATAATTCATAATAGGGATTTTAGTCATGGTTTAAGTCACTAAGCAAGCAAATTTGAATTAACTAGGCAATAATAATACTATTCTGTAGGCATATTTCCACTTCCCTGCCCTCTAAAGGAAAGGTTGATTTTCATTGTTTGGTGGTGATTATGGATTTTTTAACTCAGAGTAATCTTTGCACAAAATCTATATATGTTCTTTATGATGAGGAAAATACAGTACATGTATGCACAAGCAGTTATAAACATTAACATAAATGTTTTGTGACACATAGATAGTGAATTTCATAATTTTATAAAATGTTGCATTACACTTCCTATTTATCAAATTATTCCTTTGTCAATTTTAGACATGTCGAGATAGTTTTGGAAGTATAATTTTATAATACAATAATTGGGAATCACAATTCAATATTTGTAATTATGGAATTATACGATTACAGTACAATAATTTTGAATTATTTAAAACACAAAAAATAGAATTGCAAACTTGCCTTATTAGTGAAATAAACTGAATATGTTTTAAAAAGAGCCTTATTTTTAAAATTGAGGAATTGATTGAACAAAGACAAAAAAAAAAGCTGATTATTGTCATTGATCTGACATTTAATGCTTATTCATACTGGAGAGTAAACTAAGCTTTCTGGTCTTAGTATCATCTCAATTTATGGTTGATTTTCTTTAAAACTTTGGCAACGGATATGCGGTGCTTCAATATATTTGTAATGTAGTTTAAACTAAAATATTTTGATAGGTTCCTGTCAGCTTGGACTTTAGAATGCATTGAGATATTTTCATATTTAATTTAAATAGATTTAATTTTTAAAAAGAAAAAAGTATAACAGTGAAATTAAAAAAAAATGTGATTTACTTTAAAATACTTCCAGTTAAAAAATCGGACTCATGGTCAACTACTTTTATTAAACAACTTGTCTTGTCTGCTCTTGCTTCCACGCTGTTCCTTTCCAGGCTTTTTCTTCTAGCAACTTTTCTGCTGCTTCAAAATTCAATGCATATTACTGTATCTTTAAAAAAATATATATATGTATATATATAGTGTCAGTTTACAAGTCTTTGGTTATTTGCTGTAGTTCTTAGTATACAGTCCCTCGTGGGAATGTGGCCACTAGTTCCATTCTGCTGTGGCGCTCTCTACCTGTACTCACAGACTTTTAAGAATATTAATCTTCATACCAGTCTCCTGTTTCTTATTTTTACTGCTGTCAACAGTCAATTTCCTTCTGCTACTACCAATCTCATGATTCAATCAGAAGATGCCCTGTTGGTGCTTCCTGATGTCTTATATACCTTGTCTCCTGTGCATCTTTTAAGTGAGATAAGGTGGAGGCTGAGGTTCTTTCAGTATCCTTTTTACTCTATAATTGGCCCTATCTGTACAGATATATTAGCTAGTTATTGCTACTGTTCTGCAATTACTTTTATTTTTGTGCTGGTTTTATAGACTCTCTTACCCTGTGCCATTCAGCTGATAATAGTGGGTTGGGTGTTTATTGATGTAGCTATTTCATGTTCAAAAACACATGTTGCTTGTCTGTGCATAGTGTTTTCAGGTCCTTTGCTTTAGAAGTCACCTTAGGTGAGGAACCTCTATCCACTTTGGGTTAGTAGCCCTTAAATCTGCTGGGATTAGTGACTACTCCTCTTTAAACAGAACCATGTGCTGGACTCTTAATTTGCTTCTTGCACAGAAGAACAGGCACTCTAACTCCTTATCATAAGATGGGATGAAAAAGGAATACTTATATAAGCTGTATATGCTATTTGAAGTGTGGGGTCTAAAAAGCAATAATACTGTAACCAACTAAACTTTTGATGCCTGAGTCTTTCTTTTGCCTGGGTTCAGTTTACACATAGAGAGTTTAGTTGATACTTTCATGGGCAGATGTATTTGGTAGGCCTGTCTATGAGGATGTGGCAATAGCTGTCGGATATGTAGATGTCTTTTATAATCAGGCTACTAACGTGTAACAGAGTTAATTTTTGAACTCACAGAGAATAATTCCTTGTAGGTAAACTTTGTTTAGTCAATGCTCTTTTGTTTGCTCCACTTCATGGAATATGGACCTGGAGCTTTCATGTATGTGTAAATTAAAAAGATGGGAAAACAAGAATTTCTGCCATCCTGCACAGCCTGTCTGTGCTAGAAAGCTGTTAATGTTTCTCTGATACTCTTATATCCGCTTTCCTCTACTGTATTGCTAGAGCATTTCCTAGTCTTACATGAGTTATATTCACACCTGGGAGGTAAGGAAATGTGTTTTTTACACAGGTGTTTTTTATATGTCTGGTTAGGTAATAGAGGCTAAGATCCAGCCACATCAAGTCAACAACTGAAGACACTTAATTTTCAGTGACTTTGGCGCTAAGCAGCTTATACAGGATATCACTGTTAGATTAGGAAAGTGAACCTGGCACTCTGGAAACTTTAGCAAGCATCCCAAACCATTTTTGTCCTCTCTGGGTATGAATACTGGCATCAATTTGTGCCTTTTCCATATGCAAGACTGGTAACACTTGTCCATAGTGCTTTAGTCCTGGAAACTGAGCCCTGGAAGCTGGGTCCCAGAGTGCTGACCATGACATTTGCTCACTAATAGCAGTTTCTTTATGCTTCAGTTCATATCTTGTCTACATTATGATATAGATGTAGCTGTCTGAGCACTGACAGATGGTATTGATATGTCTGTATGTAGGTGCATGTATTAAAATAGATTTGA